TGCATGCCTAGGATCCTGGGAAGAGAATGGAGAAGGGACTGTGGCATGGCCATTACCAATGGGGGATGATTTCTCACTTTACCTCTCATTGTCTTTCTCTCCAGCAAGTGCACTTGTCCTAAGGCAAAAACCTCTATAGGTGGCATGGTGGTTGAGAGCGCTGGACTCCCATGTGGCAGACCACGGTTTGAGTCCCAGACCTGGTGGCTTCTTTTCTTACCCTCCCCGCAACACACACACACTTTGTCCCTCTCTGGTCAAATTAAAAATAAATAAATAAAGATAAATAAAACAATTTAAAATTTCTTGGAAAAAAAAAGCTATAAGAAAAAAAAAAGAGTATATTGTGTATATTGTGGCTCCTTAATAGCAGTGTCTACATCTTACAGACTTCCAAAAGTTTGTGGAAAAATGAAATTAAAGTAAGAGTTAATTTTGTTGCAAACTTTTAAAAAATCTGTGCAGTTTTTTGCATAATAGTCATATTTCAGGGCTGGCAGGTGTCATGGTGGTTAGGAACGGTGGACATCACATGGTCGACTGTGGTTTGAGTCCCAGACCTGGTGGCTTGCTTTCTCACTTTACCTCTCTCTCTCTCTCTCTGTCCCTCTCTGGTCAAATTAAACTAAGTAATAAATAAATAAAGTTTAAAAAAGTATCAATCTTGGGACCAGCAGGTGGCATAATGGCTATGTCTCTGGATTCCCGTGTAGTCGACCACGGTTTGAGTTCTGGACCCAATGGCTTAAACTCACACTGGGGTGTGTGTGTGCATGCCCAAGATTCTGAGAAGAGAATGGAGGAGAAGGGATTGCCATGTGGCCATCCTCCCTGCGGGGTGATTTCTTGCTTTCTGTCTGTCTGTCTCTGTCTTTCTGGTGAGTGCACACACCTTATAGCAAAAATCCACCCCCCCCAAAAAAAAGTCTCAGTCTTAATTAACCTTTACAAAAAAAAATTGTCAAATTCCATGAACGTTGTGAAGACCCCCTCATAAATGTTTTTCTTTTTCTTTTTTTTTTTGGAGAGGTTTTTGCTATAGGGCACGTGCGTTCGCCAGACAGAGAGATAGAGACAGAAAGCAAGAAATCACCTCCCTGGGGGGATGGCCATGGCGCAATCCCTTCTCCATTCTCCTCTAGTTATCTTGGGCACACCCAGTGTGAGTTTAAGCCACCAGGTCCGGGACTTGAACCACGGTTGGCTACATGGGAGTCCAGCAACATAGCTATTACGCCAACTGCTGTTCCCAAAAAATTACATTGGCCTCTTAAAATAAATACCCATCTCTTCCATTTTTCTCACTGTGAGTACCAGGTGATTGATGCCCAATCAGGAGAGTAGGTATTGTTTCCTTTACCACGAGAGGGCACCAATCAGTCAAGTCGATCTCTACCTGCCATTACAAAACAAGATGAGGAAATGAAACTCTTGGAAGTCGTTTCTGCCACTTATTCTTCTGACAAATATGAGTGTTTCAAGCACCTAACATATGTCAAACATTGGCATAGATGGCATATGTCATGGTATTTATAGTCCCCAGCACCAACTATGTGCCTGAGAGTCTATTAGAAGTGGAAATGGAGGGTAGGGTTCAGTGATACTGATTGGGAGATACTGATTGTCTTCCTGCCCTTGGCTGTCAGTCTATGAGAACAATTACTTAGTGTCTACTTTGTGTCAGATAGTGTGTTGGTTGCTGAGGATACAGAGATGAATAAGACACAGTTGCAGCCTGCTAATAAATAATTTCTTGCCCTAGGTTAAAAAATCAGGAGCTACTTCTGTGGAATTCCAGTTTCTGTAAACTGAGAATAAAGAACCTTGAGTACAAAATTCATTAACACAAGTTGCTAGCCTATCAGTTTAGGTCATGCCCAAAGTAGATACTTAGTATGAGTTCATGAAGGGATTTGAGCCCAGAGAGCAGCTTCCTGTCTGGATGTCAAGGTGTATGCTTCTAGTGGGTGAGTCTAGGTATCTATCATCTGCAGGTCAGGGTGGGGCCATGATGAGTTAATGTGGGTGAAATGCTTTGAAGATGAACTTTCTGCCTGTTTGTCTACTTACAGCCTTGCTATTAAAGGTGTCAACATCCTCTCCCACGTTTCCAGGTCAGCAATCTTCTTGACCCTAAAACGAGTGGAGAAGGGGATGCCAGAATAAAGCATATGTCATTGCTTTGGGAGGAGAGGGTACATCAACTAGGATACTTCATCTCCTATGAGACAAATTCTAAGTCCAGTGGAGTTCAGCCTGAAGACCTAGAGAGGAGATTAGGGACAAGAGTTTTATGCTTTAAAATACCAAGACCTCATCATTGAGGGGGAAAAAAAGACCAAAAAAAAAAAAAAAAAAAAAAAGGAAGAGGAAAAAAAAGAAAAGGCTCCTTACTTGTCAATTATTCATTGTGATTTCCTTCAAAACACTACAGTATAGAAAGGGGGTAGGTAGGAAGAGAGTAACTTTACAGTGGAGAGGCCTAACATTACTGAGACAGGTGATCAGGTCAACATCAGCACTGTTAAGTCATGCTGCTATTATGTGACTTTGATATGGTGTAATGAAATGGCATGTTTACCTCTGATCCTCCTCTCAAAAACACACACCCTCATGAGACAAACATTAGGAATCTCATTTGAGGAACAGTCTAAAAAATATTTGATCAATACTCTTCAAACTATCAAGATCATAAAAAAAAAAAAATCTAAGAAATGGTCAGTCAAGAGGAGTTTAAAGAAACATGAAAACCAAAAGAAGTGTGATATCCTGGATGGGAACTTTGAATAGAAAAAGGATATTAGGTAAAAACTATGGAAATGTAAATAAAATATGAACTTTAGTTAGAGTAATATATCAATATTAGCTCATTAATGATAATAAATGAACTAATGTTAGATGCTAAAAATAGGAACATTGGGTGCTAGGTATATGAAAACCGCATAGTCTTATCAAGGTATCTATAAATGCAAAAATGTTGTAAAAGTAAAGTCTATAGTGGCCGGCAGGTGGTGTGGTGGTTAAGGCAGTAGACTCCCACATTGCTGATAGGCTTGAAAATCCCACTGAGTAGGGCCGTGGTGGCTAGGGCGCTGGACACTCCAACATGGCCGACCATGGTTCAATTCCTGGATCTGGTGGCTTACTTTCTCCCTTTCCTTCTCTCTGTATGTCTTTCTCTGGTCAACTGAAAATAAATGAATAAATAAAATGTAAAAAAAAATTAAAAAGAAAGAAAATCCCACTGAGCAAGTGAGTGAGTACCCCAAGTCCAGAGATGATAATGGATGAAGAGAGATTCCTGGCTGACCATTTCGGGGAGGGTAGGTGGGGGGATTTCTCACTTTCCCTCTCTCTCTTCCTCAGGGGTGAGTGAATGTGCCTTATGGCAAAAATCTAAACAAAACATAATAAAGTCTACTAAAAAAATGAAGGATGGTATCTGGAATATAGCTATACCTTTAAAATGTTTCTTTCTTTGAAACTTCTATTTATAGATCATTTACCATGTGCCAGTCACTAAGCTATACATAGATGATCTCATTTAATCATTACAATTGCTTCTGTTAGTTGTAATTAACCCCCTTTTACAGAAGCTAATGAAACAGGGAGAGGTAATATAAATGGTGAGCCAGGAGAGGAATCAAGATCTTTTTGATCTCCAAATTGTGTGTGGTACTCTCACAGTATGTTGGCCTTTCTGGGAAATGACTTGGGCAGTTATCAGAAGACATGCCTTCCCAAGAGAAAGAATAGTCTATATCACGGGGATGGAAGACTGTCTCCACATCTCACCTCAGTCGTGATTATCTCATGAAATCTCCCAGTTGTAGGTTGGACAGTCCACCTGAAAGGACCTACAGGGGACCAAAGTGTAACCACGGTACTTTAACGAAGGGTTAAACTACTGAGAGAGAGCCATAGCACTCGCTGCAAATCACTGAGAAGGGCCAGGAACCCAGCTTCAGTCTATTATTTCTCTTTCCTCATGACTTCCTCTTTGTAGTAAAGGAGGGAAGTAAGGACTGGGCCTATCAACCTTTCCTTATTTGTCGTATGGGAAACTGCCTCCTCCTAAGGTGAGGACACAAAGGCACCCTGGTCTACGGGAGAGAGATGACTGGAAATCTCTGCCCTACATTCTCAGCACTTCCTCTTCAAGCACCTACTATGTGCAGGAGCCACGACCTAGGTATCGCAGAGGACCAGGCCAGTTGGCGGAGGCCTACGGATACACAGAGTGGGAAGGGAGATCACTGACAGCGGAGGTCGCCGAGGAGGTCCCTTCCGGGGCCTGCCTCTGGAACCCCCGAGCCGCGATGCACAACTGGACCCCCCGAGCCGCGATGCACAACCGTCATTTTTGGGCCAAGGCAATCCCATGCAGCCGGCCCTCGATCCTCACAGCCGCTGGCTTCTCGTAGGGCGGGGGACACGCGCCGGCGTCACAAAGCGCCGCCAACTCGCCGGCGGCCGGGAGGAGGCGGGGAAGAGGGAGGAGGCCGAGGAGGAGGAGGAGGAGGAGGGCGAGGGCGGGGGCCCGAGGGGAGCGCGCACGCGCGTCGGGCCGCCAGCCGCCGAGAGGCTTCCCCCTCC